TGGAGATAAACTATACAGAGCTGCGGCCCTTCAGGAACTGCGTTTGAGATCATTAATTATAAATGACTTACTGTCTCTTTTAAAGACGTATAATTTCCTCTTTTTCGCAGTTATTTTAAAGAGAACTGGTGCTTGGCTCTGTATCATGATCGCTTTGCTGATTTTGAACAAGAAGTTTGTCAGATCATGGACTCGGCTAAACTACAGGTCAGTTTCCTCTACATCTGTATCGCTGTATTTATTAATGAACTAATTGACTGCATTTGCCCAGCTCATTTTTTAAAAATCTGATAAACACCTGCTGAACCTGAAGGCCATGCATCATTTTATTGCAATGCATTCAGAAATATGACCAGGTGCTAAAATAAAATTAAATGTAATAATTAATTAGATAAAAAAAAATTGGATGATTAAATAAATATTAAACATCAAAATTGAATGACGTAAAATAATTAAATTGATATTAAAGAAATAAAATACAATTAAAAATGACTTTCAGTATGTTGATGTGCTTCCGACTGAAACGGAATATTGAGTAGGGGCGGGGCTTTCTTTTTTGCACATCATTAGCAAACTAACGGCAAGGGGGCGTGGTTAATAATGTTCTGACTAGCTGTCAAACTGAGGTCAACAGAGAAGGAACGCCATTTTAAATTTGAAAGCAAATGTGTAGACTTTAATTAAAGATTACCAAAACAAACAATTTCTTGCAGTGGACTAACTTGGATGGATTCATTGTTCACCAAAAGAATAACAACAATGTAAATAGGCACTTTAATGCGATGCGTTGAGATATTTATCACTTCAAAGTAGAAAAATGAACAGATCTGGTGCTGAAAGTTTTAAAATAATGACAAAAAATATATAATTAATGCAAATAAATCACACTAAACAGTTAAAATAGATCAATAAAAATGTAATAAGCTTCCTCTGAGATGTAATCCTACAATAAGATTTGTTCATGTACTACCTCTTTTCAGAATCAACAAAAGCTTAGCATATTTGAAAGCTAAAAACCTTGCATTGTGTTTTATCCCTACAGGACGAGAGCGGTTCAGTGTCACTTGAAGAGGCTCTTCAGCAGATCGCGGATGATAAAGCAGAGTCTGATCAGCTCGTGAGTCTCAGCCAGACGTTTCAGAAGAGCCAGGCTTACTCTGCTCTGAGGAACAGCGTTCTGGATTATCTCAAGTACAACAGATACCATCTGAGCATGTACGCGCGCCCGGGACTGCTATAATCAATATCCATTTCATATTAGGAGCATTTACACGCTGCTTTATCTTGGGTTTCCTCATTTCTTTGCATTTGCTGCACCATATGTTGAGGGTGGGGGGGTTCTGTGGGGGAAGGGCTCGAACTGAAGAAAAAAAAAAGTAAATAAAGAGTCTTGTTTTGTCATTCAAGGAAGTATTTGGTGATAATTCATGACAAATCTGTGCCTTTGCTCTTTTGAATGCTCCATGGATGAAATGCGTGGTGTTATATATTACATGTAGATGCCAAAAGTGCAGATAAGAGCAGAGAGAGAGGCAGCTCCGAGGCCTGTGAAGACAGACAGCAGCTGTATGATAATGAATGCAGGCCAGAAAATCACAGACGCACGTCATGCAGCACAGTATACATCAGACCTGCTGCACAGGCTTCACCACAAACATTATAAAACGCTTAGCAGATATCCGACGCAACAACTGCCTTTGTTCAAAACCGGCTAACTCGGTAAAGTTTAAGGTCTTGGATGTAGATTCGAAGGCAAAATGATTTGCCCTCCTGTGAAATTTGTTTTCAAATATTTTCCAAGTGATGTTCAACAGAGCAAGGACATTTTTTGCAATATTTTTTTCTTCAGGCGAAAGTGTTATTTCTTTTAGTTTGGCAGGAATATATATATATATATATATATATATATATATATATATATATATATATATATATATATATATATAGCTTTAAATATTTTATTATATGTTATTAGCCCATTTAAGAAAGGATAAGTCTCGATTGCCTTCAGAATAAATCACTAATGTCCAACGACTTGCCTATTACCTAAAGTACGGCCAGACAGAATCTGAGAACATTTTTTGCTATTTCTGCAGAGAATTTAGTAACAAATCTGTGGATTTATGCAAAGTCATAACTAAAAACTTAATATAAATAATACAAAATATTACATTTGTACCTTTTATTTATTGTTTACAATGCAAATCCAATTAGATTCACTTGTTTGGTAAACAAAGCAGGTCTCTCTTATAATAGATCTTCTAGAAAATATTACTTTACAAAGGGTGTTGTAAATAAACCACATGAACATTTTCAAATAAGTCAATAATATTACTGTAACTAATTTACAAACTGACTAACTTAACATATTTGCACACATTTACACTTGTAAATAACTCAATTATTTTAGTGTGGGCCTACCTATAAGTTAAGCCTTTAAATATTACTTTAAACTGAATACTATCTTGCAAAATACCTAGTAAATATTATTTACTGTCATCAATAAATTAGTTTTTAAAACTATTATGTTGCATCTTGAGAAATATTTTAAGTCTAACATTAACAGGGGGGCTACTATAAAAAATCTTCAACTGTAGAACTTAATAACACGAGATAATGTGAAGAAGATAAAAGTTGGCCATTGCATTTAGTATTTTCTTTATTAATAACATTTAAAAACTACATGTTCCACTTCAATGCACACTGAGTGTAAACGTTCAATAAAACAGGCACAGCTTGTGTGAGGAATAAAATTAAATCAAAGGAACAGTGTAAAATAAACGGCAGCTGTGGTTGCCAGTATTTCACCTTTAAAAATACAGTACAAACCGTAAAAGTAATTGCTGATTTTTAGGGTAAACTACTGTATTTATTTATTTATTAAGGTCATATGTCTGTATTTTGCATAACCAACATCTACACATCACATCTTTTGTTACACAGGCAGACACGTTAACAAAGCCATGTGCAGGCGGAGATGAGAAAGTTACATAATGAAGCAATGCTCATCACAAACAACTTTTCCCACAAGCAGAAGTGTATCAGTGTATAGAAGCTGCTCAGTCATTCACACCGCTACTAAACATCAGTATGGTAACAGGCTCAAAATTAAAGTCATGAAATAAACATTGTTTAGATGTAACATAAATCTCAGATGTACATTACTGATTGGGAAACAACTAATAAGATCCATATTAATGTCAACAGAAACATAAAAAGTGATGTGGGAATTCTGGGAAAGTCAATTTACGGTTATTCGGCGTATATATTAAGGAAACATAATGTTGGTTACAGATTTTTACTGTAGCATTTTTACAGTTGAGATACCGGCCCTTTTACAGTGAATGTACTAAATCTACACCTCTAAAATGTGATTGTACTAAAATAAATGAAACGTGTAAAAACATTAAAGCAATCAAATTAAGCTTTCAGGGTGGATTTAACCAATAGAAAAATCAGAGGGCCTCCAAATAAACACCTAGATGTATAAATGATACCTATGACATTGTTTTCTATCATATTTTGTATGGTGAGGGTGTCAGATTTTTTATTTGAACATAGTTATCTGCACACATTTGTCCCTCACCTTCAACCATGGACCAGTCCAGCAGCCAAATCAGTAAAGATTTAGGTTTAAAAACGAAAGAGTTCATTCCTTCATTCATTTTCTTTTCAGCTTATTTCCTTTATTAATCAGGGGTCGTCGCAGTGGAATGAACCGCCAACTTAGCTTTTACGCAGCAGATGCCCTTCCAGCCGCAACCCAACACAGAGAAACGAAAGAGATCATTTATTATATTTAGCTGTGAATTCAAATCGTTTCAAATGTTTTACAAGATGCTTTACATGTTATTAATATTATACATTAATATAGAAAGTAGAAAAGGAGAGTGAATGACAAAAAAAATGTGAAATAATAACAAAAAATAAAGTACAAAAGGTGCATTAAAAGAACTTTTGGGGCCCATAGCTGGAATTGCTTAGTGCCCCAACATCACTAAACCCGCCCCTGTGTACAGTATGTGTAAGCAGTCCAATAAAAGACATGCATTTAACACTAGCAAACTAACCTCTGATAGATGCAACAAATGTGTTTGTCAAAGTTAGGTCATGAAACCATCTGGCAGGGGGAAAAACGGGTGTTGTTGTATGAAATCAAATCAAACCAAAAAAATGCAAAAGCGCTCATTAAGAGTTGTTGAATCACATGCAACAAATGCGCGAGTCTGGAACTCAATTACGCCATTTTCCCAACGCTCTCTCAGAATGATTGCGATGGAGATGACTAGAAATTCCGCTATGGCGAGACCGTTGCATTGGAATGACATCATGCACGAGCTCGATCGGCGCTGACGGCACGGGCGAGTCTGAGACCGAGATGAGTCCGTTTGAACAGAAGGATGATGTGCGTCTGTCGCCGCGGCGCGCGCAAGCGTGTCTTTTGTGATGCAAACGAGAGGAGCCTCTTTTATGAATTATGTATGCGCGCGATGAGTGATTAATACGTCCCGCATTCAACTGTCGCACATGTCCCGAGCCTGCGGGCGTCTGATTTATACATTTAATTAGTTTGCAGACAAATTACGCATGCAACTCGCAGCCGCTTTCTGCACTGCAGAGCGACTCTGAACCAGGGTCGCGTAAAAGTGAACGCGCGAGCATTAAAACGCACTTCTTTGTTGCCGTTTCCCCCCTTTTAATTTGAAATTCTGATGCTCTGAGAGTGAAGGAGCCCCTAAAGGATGCTGACAAAGGCAGGGCACGTGCGCATTGACGGGAAGCATCAAAGCGTGAAAAGAGGAGGAACCAGCGTGTGCCTAAAGCATCCTAATATAATAAAGCTCAGGTACATCTGCCCGAGCAATCTGCAGACCCTCCCATCCCCGAATCCATAGGGATTCAGCTCCATCTGATTGGACGATCCGGCGAGGGGCGAGAACAATGTCATCATTCCTGCTTAAAAAGACTGCCGCTATGCTTTCGTGATGGAAAGATCACCGCGCGCGTCCAAATATAGTACCAGGTGTGCCTCTGATTTCAACCCGACTGAAGTGCCTTTCAGCTGGCGAAGATGCCCAGAGGATTTTTAGTCAAGCGAAATAAGAAAGCGACACCTGTTTCGTACCGGGTCCGCTCGGAGGAGGACGAGCAGGGCGCGTTTGTCGCGCAGGATGTTCCGTGCGCGCGCCGCCCGGTGTCACCCGTGCAGTTCGGGAACCCCGAGACAGTCTACCGGGCTATGTACAGCCCGACGCGTCCCGTCAGCAGAGAGCACGAGAGGGCGTGTTTGGAGCGGCGCTTTAATCTCGGCTCGCCCATCTCAGCGGAGTCTTTCCCGGCGGCGCCAAACTGCTCCGACCAAGCGCCGGTGGATCTTAAAATCGGCACCAGCAACAGCAACCGAACCGGCACCACAGTAACCACCAAAAGACCCGCGTCCGACACAGAGCGCAAAGGCAAACCGGCATCCAAGAAAGCCAAAGCCATGCGGAAGCTGCAGTTCGAGGATGAGATGACCACCTCTCCAGTGCTCGGACTGAAGATCAAAGAAGGTCCGGTGGAGCAGAAGCCCAGATCGCAGTGCGCAAGCGGAGACAAGCCGCTCGGAGAGTTCGTCTGTCAGCTGTGCAGAGAGGCATACGCGGACCCCTTCTCTCTAGCCCAGCACAAATGCTCCAGGATCGTCAGGATCGAGTACAGATGTCCCGAATGCGACAAGCTCTTCAGCTGCCCGGCGAACCTCGCCTCGCACCGGCGGTGGCACAAACCCAAGCAGAGCGCGGAAAGCAATAAAACACCCGCGCCCGAGAAAGAGGAGACTTCCAGCGACAGGGACACTCCTAGTCCCGGACTTTCCGAAAGCGGCTCTGAGGACGGCCTGTACGACTGCCAGCACTGCGGGAAGAAGTTCAAGCGTCAGGCGTACCTGAAGAAGCATGTGACTGCGCACCACGACGCGCCAGAAAAACCCCAAAGCCACGCGCCTCTGAATCTCAGCGCCTCCGAGTGTCACCTGTGCCCGGTGTGCGGGGAGAACTTCCCGAGCAGGATGAGCCAGGAGCGCCACATCCGCCTGCAGCACTCGGCGCAGGTCTACCCGTGCAAATACTGTCCGGCCATGTTTTATAGCTCGCCGGGACTTACGAGACACATCAACAAATGCCACCCGTCGGAAAACAGGCAGGTGATCCTGCTTCAGATGCCGGTGCGTCCAGCCTGCTGAAGACAACCTGTGCCTTAAACCAGTGCTTCCCAGCCCACAACGTTCCGGATTGGATGGGATGGCAGGGGGTCGGGAAGCACTGCCTTAAACCACAGAATCAACCTGGATGAGCATCACATGCGAATCCTGCCATTTTCTAATCTACAACTCTCGAAAGGAGTTTTCCGAGTGATGTCACAGAAGAATCCGTGTTCGATTCTGGGAAGAACGGCGAACGTTCTAAAACAGAAGTGAGAACGCTTTACGCAATGGAAAGACTCCAACGCTTGATTTTTTTAAAGAGGGTAAAGTAGTTGATCTGAAGGTGGTACAACAGGTTAGACTGTTCGCTTCTTTTTCTAGGATCTCCGCACAAGTGCTTTTAGCTTTTAGACCTAAGAATCCTAGAACATGCCTTTGAATTCACAGGCTGTACATACATTTTTCCATCGTTTCTAGCTTTAATAGAGCTTGTGAATCTGTGGACGTTTGACTGTAGCTTTCAAAACAACCTGCTGACAAGGGTTTCTCCCTTTAGTGTAGCCAGAAATGCCTTGAATTAGATCTCGACATGCTGTAAAACTGCCTTAATCATGTAAATGTCGGAGTGATTGCGGTTACTGATGATGTGTTGTTGTTTTTTTTAATACTATTGTTGTTATTATTATTATTCGCGTCATTGTGTGTGCGTATATGTTTGTGATTATTTATCTAATTATTATTATTATTATTTATTTATTTCAAATGATTTATTTAACTTATTCCTCTGCCTCATTCGTTTGTGATTGATTTTGAAATTTGTCTCGACAGCCAAATGTTTCTTTTATTGATCTGAAGGTCAATCTCCGAGTCTGAAATCCACCTTGCATTAGGTACAATCCTTTATATTAATTTATTTTTTTTATGTTACGTCTGACATGCTCAGCGCTTGTGTGTGTTTCTGCAGTTCTGCTATTTGTCCAAAAATTACTTATGATAATAATAATAATAACAATAAACAGTCCAAAAAGTCTAATGGGATCCACCTGATGTGACATTCCAGCAATCTGAACACGTGTGTGTGTTTGTGTGTGTGTGTCGACATGTGGAAACCCAGACACTGTGAACACTTACAAATGCTTCATCTTCATCATCTTATCTTCTTCTACTTCTTATACGATGAAATGTTTCCATCTGGATTCTGTACCAAGATACGTCTGCACTTAATAAAACACGTCAACTTAAAATGATCTGCTTGTCTGTGAATAAACTGGATCCTGAAAACAGCACAACACATCTCACATTGATGTTCAACACTGTGGTCAATTTGAGTTGGGACAACATGAAGGAATTAAGTTAACCTATTAGTTTTTACAAACTACAATCGAATAGTCCCAACGAAATCTCAAGAATTGTGTTGTTTCAACTCATTTTAAATAAGCAGTGTGAACACAATATTTTGAGAGAACTTTATAGTGTTTAAAATGGTATTGAGCTGAATTATAAGAGCAAAAACTGATGCCGTTCTTCATCTAAAACTATTTTTAATTACTTAATTCTTTATTAAACAAACAAGAGCAACATATAATAATTCAGTAAACATTATATCTGCTTCTCTTTTATATTGAAAACTCCCAAAACCCAACCAAAGAGGCAGCTTTAAAAAATAATCTAATAATAACACAAAGAATGCCGTTTACACAGTTCAAGTCTAAACCAAAACATTACAAACAAGCCGATGATAGTAATGGTATTGTGTGGTTTGGCAACCTGTCTGTACAGTGTATATCTAAGTTGATGCATCTCTTAAAGACAGAATGGAAAATTGTTGGGCACAATGAATATTTTATTCCTCAAGATTTATGTGAGAATTGTGTCCTTAATCAGGTGGAAAGGATTCTGAATGATCTGACTCGTATTTTGTTTCCACATCATGAACTGCTTCCCTCTAGTAAATATAGAGTCCTTAGGTGAAGGTATACTAATATCAGATATACCTGTTTCAATGGGTTTATTTAATTAGAGTATATCTTAACCCTTTGACTGCCCCTCTAATGCCCTTATAAATAATGGTTTACACACAGCTTTGGTTTTATTGTAAAAAAAAAATAATAATAAAAAAAGAAGAGGATCTGAATTATTTAATCAATATTTATTTATCAATATTTAATACAATATATTTATTAATCAATGTTTAATCCAAAATACTTATCAATATTTAATCCAATATATGTATTTATCAATATTTAATCCAATATATTCATTTAGCAATATTTATTCCAATATATTTTTATCAATATTTAATCCAATATTTGTATTTATCACTATTTAATCTAATATATTCATTTAGCAATATTTATTCCAATATATGTATTTATCAATATTTAATCCAATATATTTATTTATCAATATTTAATTCAATGTTTTTATTTATCAATATTTAATGCAATATACTTATTTATCAATATTCCATCCAATATATTTATTTATCAATATTTCATCCAATATATTTATTGATAATAATATATTTTATTATTTCTGGAAGGGCATCCGCTGCGTAAAAACATATGCTGGATACATTTTCGGTTAATTCTGCTGTGGCGACCCGTGATTAATTAAAAGGACTTAGCTGAAACGAAAATGAATGAATGAACATGTTAACTAGCGACATTAGAAGTTAAGAAATGCAATCAAAAAGTTTTTTTCTTTTCTTGGTAGGATAGTTAAAGAGTTAATTACCATTATAACTACTGTATTCTGTATTGTTTTTATCATATTGCTTTTATATATGTCTAAAGCAAAATGGTGATGCCCATAACAAATTTCCTATCAAGGACAATAAAGTTTACTTAGATTTTTGCAATTTTATTCCATTCTATAAAACAGATTGAACTACAAAAATAAACAAAAAAACAAAACAAAAAAATGCTACACCTCAAATGAGATAAACAGAGGCAAAATTTAAATAAAACTATCATTTTTATCCCAGTATTCATTACAATATATTGGATTAAATTTGATAAATACATATATTGGATTAAATATTAATAAATGTATTGGATTAAATATTGATAAATAAATATATTGGATTAAATATTGATAAATAAATATATTGGATTAAATATTAATAAATATATTGGATTAAATACTGATAAGTAAATATATTGGATTAAATATTTATTAATAATTATATTGAATTAAATATAGATAAATAAATATTTTGGATTAAATATTGATAAATAAATATACTGGAATAAATATTTATTAATAATTATATTGGATTAAATATAGATAAATAAATATTTTGGATTAAATATTGATAATTAAATATAATGGGTTAAATATTGAAAAATAAATATATTGGATTAAACACTGATAAATAAATATACTGGATTAAATATTGATAAATATATTGGATAAATATTGATAAATAAATATACTGGATTGAATATTGATAAATATATTGGATTAAATATTGATAAATAAATATTTTAGATTAAATATTGATAAATAAATATATTGGATTAAATACTGATAAATAAATGAATTGGATTAAATATTAATAAATATATTGGATTAAATATTGATAATTATATTGGATTAAATACTGATAAATAAATACATTGGATTAAATATAGATAAATAAATATTTTGGATTAAATGTTGATAATTAAATATAATGGATTAAATACTGATAAATAAATTGGATTAAATATTAATAAATATATTGGATTAAATATTGTTAAATATATTGGATTAAATACTGATAAATAAATGAATTGGATTAAATATTGATAAATAAATATATTGGATTAAATATTGATAATTATATTGGATTAAATACTGATAAATAAATACATTGGATTAAATATAGATAAATAAATATATTGGATTAAATGTTGATAATTAAATATAATGGATTAAATATTGATTAATAAATATATTGGATTAAATATTGATAAATAAATAGACACTGAAAGGGGGTCTCAATTTTTCATGCCTGAAATGTTTTTAGTGTTATTATGAAGAAAACACTTGAGCAAATAGTGTTGCTCGGTGTCGGCATGCAAGAGAGTTTCAGCAGCAGCTCTGAGACGCAGATGCTCTGGACAGAAAACACCATAGACACCAAATCCCACAATACAGCATCACACACACGCACGCTTGCATGCACGCACGCTCACACACACTTGTGTTATGCAGACTGACTCCCAAAGGCCAAGAGTGCTTCACACACACATGAACACGCGCACACATATGCACGCGCACACACACACACGCACACACACAGACATGCTCAAACATATGCTCATACAATACATGCACACATACACACTTGAATGCCCAAACACATCCACACACACATAAATGCACACACACAAACAAGCTCACACAGACATGCTCAAACACATGCACACATACACACTCGAACGCACAAACATGTATGCACAAACACATCCACATGCACACACAATACACTCACTTAAATGCACAAACACACACACACAACACCAATGCCCACACTGAAATAGACACAAACAAGCTCACCCACATGGACACATATACACACGCACACATAGACAGTCAAACACACAAGCATACATGCACAAATTACACTCAAATGGACATACACACAGATAAACACACACACACACACACACACAAATACATCCACTCAAATGCACACACAAACAAGCTAACACACACATACACATATCCACTCAAACAAACAAACACACACACACACACACACACACACACACACACACTTAAATGCACACACATACACACTGACTGTAAAATGCACAAACATGTATGCCCAAACACATCCACACAAACATAATTGCACACACACAAACCAGCTCACACAGACATGCTCAAACACATGCACACATACACACTCCAATGCACAAACACATCCACATGCACACAAAATACACACACTGAAATGCAGAAACACACTCACACACACAAACTCAAATGCACACACACAAACAAGCTCACACACATAGAGACATGCTCACACACGCGCACACACACACACACACACACACACACACACACACACACACACACACATACACACATACACATACACACACACACACACACACACACACACACACAAACACACACAAATTTACAAACTAATACACTCAAACACACACACACCCACACAGTCAAAAGCACAAACATACATGCACAAATGCGCGCTGACACACACACAAACACACACACGCACACACACGCACGCACACACACACACACTCAAATGCATACACAAACAAGCTTACACACATACACAAATGCACTCAAACAGACACACACACACACACACACAAATACTCAAATGCACACACATACACACCCAAATCCACAAAAAATATTTTCTTGGCACACTTTGGGCCCATTAGTACCAATTGAGCATCGTGTCAACACCACAGCCTACCTGAGTATTGTTGCTGACCATGTCTATTCCTTTATGACCACAGTGTACTCATCTACTGATGGCTACTTCCAGCAGGATAACACACCATTAAGCTTGAATCATCTCAGACTGGTTTCTTGAACATGACAATGAATTCACTGTACTCAAATGGCCTCCACAGTCACCAGACCTCAATCCAACAGAGCACCTTTGGGAACAGGAGATTTGCATCATGGATGTGCAGCCAACAAATCTGCAGCAACTGTGTGATGCTATCACGTCAATATGGAGCAAAATCTCTGAGGAATATTTCCAGTATCTTGCTGAATCTATGCCATGAAGGATTAAGGCAGTTCTGAAGGCATCAGTGGGTCCAACCTGGAATTAATAAGGTGTACCTAATAAAGTGGCCGGTGAGTGTATGCATATAAACATTACATACATACTCGATCCACGTTACAGACTACAGTCTCGCATATTTTCAGCACCGAGATAATTAAGATGGTTTATTTATGTTTACTTCAGTACAAATATGTTTATTTAAAATGGCCAATTTATCTTTATTAACTTCACATGTACAGTTGAAGTCAGAATTATTAGCCCCCCTGAATTATTAGCCCCCCTGTTTATTTTTCCCCCCAATTTCTGTTCAACAGAGAGATTTCTTCAACACATTTCTAAACATAATAGTTTTAATAATTCATCTCTAATAACTTATATAACTTATAACGATTTATTTTATCTTTGCCATGAGGACAGTTAATAATAT